GCTGTGGGACACTGGCCCGGCTCCGGCGGGAGAGGCCAGGAGGGCGTGGCCTACGGACTGCGACTTGGGTGGGGCAGAGCCTGGGTGAAGGCGGGGCTCAAGGGGGCGCGGCCTGCAGCGAGCGGTGGTTTGGCCAGGAGCTGGCATCCGCAGCAGCCGGTCAGCTTGAACCTGGAGCGAGGGGTTCCATCCGGGCCCTCAGGTAGCCCCTGCAGCAGGGAGCAGGGCTCTTTATCTGGCCCCCAGTGTGCGTGTGTGGAGCTGACCCCTCTGCGAGGGAGGAGGGTGGGCACTCTGGTGCTTCTTGGTGGTGGACAGGTGGGCCCTTCTCTGGGGTGCACTTGAGCCCCGAGATCTGAATGTTTGGGAGTCTAGCAGGGTGTACAGGGCTTTTGAACTTTAAAACTCTGAAAAGCTTTTTTTTTCAATGTTGGCAGAAGCTCTTAGAAGCTGCTTTCAGAGGGAAGTCCTTCAGTGTAGTGGGGACGGGCCTGCAGGCAGAGCCCTGTGTGCTCTCCCTCCCTTCCCCTACCCTGTAAGTGGGGATCCAGCAGTGGAGAACATAGGTTCCCAGGCCCTGGAGGCCACAGCTTCCTTAAAATAAACAGCCAGGTCCAGGTGGAGTGGGCATTGCTTCCCCAGCATGAGATGCTGCTTTCCTGCCAGTGTACTTTGCTGCCAAGTGCAATAGGTTCCCCATGCTGGGCACGCCTGACCCATCCCTACCGGAGCTTCAGGAGTAACTCTAGAAATGGGGGAAAGGAACCCCACTTTTAAAAATATATATTTTTATTGATTTCAGAGAGGAAGGGAGAGGGAGAGAGAGAAACATCAATGATGAGAATCACTGATTTGCTGCCTCCTGCACACCCCCTACTGGGGATCGATCCTGCAACCTAGGCATGCGCCCTGACCGGAATCAAACCATGATCACCTGGTTCATAGGTCAATGCTCAACAGCTGAGCCACATGGGCCAGGTGGAACCCCACTTTTACTCTGCCTTAAGCTCCTCACAGGACTGGCTGAAACCTTCACACACTTGGCTCACCACAACCAGCAAGAGCAAGGGCACTGCCCGCAGACATGGGCCTGTGGAGAGGTGCCAGTACCCTATGGACACTGTGGCCTGCGCTGGGGAGTCCAGGCTGGAAGTCATCTTTACTGGCTGTGGGTCCTGAGTCCCATCTCTATGTAGGTTCTAGTACATCCTCGCAGCTCACCCACCATTTTGGGGGCAAGCCCTGGGTCCTGAGGTCCTGGCACTGGCTATGGTGAGCCCTCCTACCACCTGATGCTGAGTCCAGAGCTGGCCTTCTCCACTGCGTGGTAGCTCGTGTGCAACAGGCAGCTAGCACGCTCTGAGCCCTCGCCGTGCAGCCAGTGCTCGTACAGCTCCTGGACCCCAGGCACATCCTCTGGTGCCTCCGTCCTGACCATGCTGTACAGCCTCTCCACATGCTGGAGGAGCTCCTTGCCGGGCATCTCGGGGGCCTTGAGCTGGCCTCCGCCGTTCAAGCAACCTGTGGCCGAACAGGATGGGCGAGGGTGAGGGCATGGCCATGGGGAGGGTGCTGGCACACCAGGAGTAAAGAGCCCCACAAGGGGCCCCAGCACCACCTGTGAGTGGGTCTGCTGAGAGTACCTGAGGGGCAGGCCATGACCTCCACATAATGATATGGGCAGCGCCCTCGCTTGAGCTTCTGCACCAGGTTCTGGATGTTACGAAAGCCGTAGGCCGCAGCAAAGTGCAGCAGGACTCGGCCCTCACTCTCCAGCGTCACCTCCTGGAAATCCTTGTTCCTGGGGAGCAGAGACCACCACGCTCATCCTCACCCACAGGCATGATGTCAACCTTACCAGCTCCCAGTGAAGGACAGTGACGGAGAAGGAGGGCAGAAAGCTTAATTCCACGAGTCAGCAGGTGACCCCACCCCAGCCTCGGTTTCCCGATCTGTAGAATGGGAACCCCGCTTCCCAAGGATGGCCATGTGGTGAAGTGAGGTCAGACACAAAGCCCTACCCTCCTTCTAAGATGGGATGTTCCAGAAGGACATCCTGTGCCGGGTCCACCACCCTGCCACCACTAGCCTCTCGGGTCTCTGGACTGCCATAGGGTGGGCAGGGGACCCCGACCTTTACAATAGGAAGATCAAGGCCTGGAGAGTTCTGGCCACTCAGGGGAGCCAGAGAAGAGGACCAGCTCCTGTCCAGTGACTCAGGATCTGCGCCAAACCCAGCTCACTGTCTTCTGCCAAGCCCACCTCAGCAAGGGGACCCAGGGCCGAGGCTGCCCCCACCTTAGCCCTTCCCACTGACCTCAGGGGTTTGTAGGTGACCTCATCTACGTGGATTCCAAAGAGCTCTTGGGCTGCATGCCGGAACACGTGCTCCAGGTAGCCCCCAGAGCCCCCACCTCGATGGCTGGTGGGCTCCTGAACAGACACGCTGCTGAACCTAGGGAGGAGAGTAAGGCCTCAGGTGGCAGCAGGGCTGCTATCTGCTGCGGCTTCCAGGTGACCTCTGTCTCTCATGGTGGAGGGAGTTTGCTTTCTAAGTGGGAATGAGTCACAGACCCCTGGGGGCTTTGTTGGTGTGTCAGGAGGTGGGAGAAGACTGGCCCCCTCCACTGAGTCACCTGGATCTGGTGAGCTCAGATCTGTATCAAGTTGGTGTCATTTCTGATGACAACTGCCTTTGTGGACACCAAGACAGACCACAGGGTGGGCATGGAACTAACCAGAAGGAAGCTATGGTGGGAAGAGGTGGGGAGGGGGACACTGCCCATTACCACATGCTTCGGCTGCCTGCCAGGACCTGCGACCCCCAATGTCAACAGTGCCCTGACACCGAATGTCTGTTCATCCCTTCCACTACGGCAGGTAGTGACTTACACACTGTCCAGGGGGGCTGGCTCCAGTTCTGATAGTGAGACCCCTTCTTCTTCCAGCAACTTGAAAACTTCTCCTGCAATGGAACCACAGCAGATGCTCATCAGCTGGGATTTCAGTAAAAACAGAGAATGCCAAAGAACACCCACATGCTCTGCACCCCTAGCAACCTGTAACTTGTCACCTGAGGCCTGGATGTCCACCCGCTGGCTTGTGGGTAGAGGACAAACCTGGGCACAGGGGTGAAGACTCCACTTCTGAAGACCCTCAGGAGGGCCCTGGGACTGCACCCCCTCACAGTGACTGGGTGGGGCTCAGAATGCCCCGATCCAGGTGCTCCACAGGAGGGTGCCCTGGGCATGTGCTTGTGCATGGAGACCTTCCCGTTTGAGTTCTCCAGCATTTATTATTTTTCTTCTTTTTTTTCCTCTCTCTTTTTTTAAAATTTTTAAAAGTATTTGGAGAGCCGAAACCAGTTTGGCTCAGTGGATAGAGCGTTGGCCTGCGGACTGAAAGGTCCCAGGTTCGATTCCGGTCAAGGGCATGTACCTGGGTTGCGGGCACATCCCCAGTGGGAGATGTGCAGGAGGCAGCTGATCGATGTTTCTCTCTCCTTGATGTTTCTAACTCTCTATCCCTCTCCCTTCCTCTCTGTAAAAAATCAATAAAATATATTTTAAAAAAATAAAAAAAAATAAAAAGTATTTGGAGACACTGTGAGGCTGCTCAACTCAGAAATGGGATAATAAATGTGAGCCAGAAGGCTGACAAAACTCTACACCCATCTCCTTGTACAGATATATATAAATTTTTATTTCAGAGAGGAAGGAAGAGGGAGAGAGATAGAAACATCAATGATGAGAATCCCCAATCAACTGCCTCCTACACGGCCAACACAGGGGATCGAGCCTGCAATCCGTGCATGTGCCCTGACCAGGAATCGAACCGTCACCTCCAAGGTTCATAGGTTGATGCTCAAGTGCCGAGTCACGCTGACTGGGCTGTACAGACTATTTTAGAGCAGACACTGGTGGTGCTGGGAGACCAGTCTGCTTCAGGTCCCTGAGACAAGACAGCTGTAAACACCAACCAGGCTCTGAGGGAGGGCCCCTGCCTCATGCTAGGCCCCGAGGTGCTCTGCACACTGGACGACAGCTCTAGCCAGAGCCTGGGGGCAGCCCTAGGCAATGCCAGCCTGTGCCCTGGACCTGGAGGTGCAGGGGCTCAGGGCGGCAGGACCCACACCTGTGGTGATGACACAATCCACATCTCGCGTCTGGTGTTCCTGGCTAAAAAAGTCAGGTCTGGACGCTTCCAGCTTCTTGTCATAGCAGGGCATCACTGTCACGTGGTGGATCTTGTCAGGGGTCACATGCTGTATGGAGAGAAGTGGAACGTGGAGTCACTGCCTGACCCCAGCAGCAAAGAGGTCCTCTTAGGGTGAAACAGGGTGACCCCACAGGCACGGCCTGAAACAGCCGGGAGTGACCACAAGTCTGTGAGTGGGTCCCTGGACACTGCAGGTCTTAGCTCATCTTTCAAGACAATGACACCAAATCACTCATCGCTGGATGTCTGTTACCTGCTGCTGGGCGAAGAAGTCCTTGACCAGGGAGCCCATGACCTGCTGTGGGGACCTGGCGGTGCTGATGTAGGGGATGATGGCGCTCCCATGGGTCTTCTCGGCATAGCAGATCCAGCCTGAGGCCAATTTGGAACAAATGGGGGTGGCTCATAACTCACCTCTCACTGTGGGCTGTGACATGACATTCTGGGGGTGGACCTACTTGTACAAGGAGTCCCATCCCATTAAAGAACATCCCACTCTATTTCTAGCAGCCACGTGATTACTGTCTTGGGGGAACTGAAGTGACTCTCAGAGCAGAGCAGCTCCTGCCAAAGAGGCCGTTCTGGGCTGACAGAACCCCCTCGGCCCCCCCTCCAGCATTCCCACTACCCACATCCAGCTGATCTGGTCAGCAGTGTGAGCACACCTGGGCAAGCAGAAGCCAGCACGGGCAAGGCCTGCTTGGAGCTGGCCTGTTCTCGGAATCGCTGCACAAACTCTCGCTGGCTCTCCAGGAGACTGAAGTTCCTCGAGAAGGCGGTATCAAACACGTAGTGCGCCCCTGCAAGGTGAGCACCCATGAGCCCCATGAGGGATGGCAAAGTGTGAGGTGCTGTTGACCATGCCCCCAGAAGCAGGGGGTCTGCCTCCCAGTGGCCACAGGAAGCACACAGTTCCAGTGTCACAGGACATGCTGTGCTGTGGACGGACAGTCTGTGCTGCTATCTGGGAAGCTTGCATTTGACAAATGGCCTCCTTCATCTGCACTTAGCATCATCTAGGACAGTGGTTGGCAAACTGCGGCTCGCGAGCCACATGCAGCTCTTTGGCCCCTTGAGTGTGGCTCTTCCACAAAATACCACGTGCGGGCGCACATGTACAGTGCGATTGAAACTTCGTGGCCCATGCGCAGAAGTCGGTATTTTGTGGAAGAGCCACGCTCAAGGGGCCAAAGAGCCGCATGTGGCTCGCGAGCCGCAGTTTGCCGACCACTGGCCTAGGACATCAGTCTGCACCAGGCTCACCCCAACCTCCTCCCTGCTCCTGGCATATAAAGAGGTCAGCCATTTGATCTGAGCCAGACCCAGAACGGGCCTGGGAAATATGCCTTGATGATGATATTCAGAAACAATAAGAGTGGGCGAATCTCAGATCTGGCAGAGTGCAGTCAGGATTCAGATGGCTTCCTCTTAAATGGCACTGCTTCCAACCATCAAGCAAAAACTTCAAGTTAAAGTCAAACTCATAATAGTTTCTGATACGTGTAAGTTCAGTGATTTGGAGGCGTGAAGAGCCCCCTCTCCACGCCTGTGTTCCAAACTGTAGCACTTACACAAGGTTCCTCACCTACCTAGTTTTTTAAAGAATGCAGTTAACTTCTTGGCGGTGTCTGTAGGATTCAACTGAAATCTTGCAGCCAGCGATGCGCTGGACTGGGGTGAGACTGAAATGACAACCAGCTTCTGCTGATCAGGAGCCGCTGTCTGTAAAGCGAAGGACACACCATTCACGTTGGAGTTTTACACTGATTCCCAGTGTGCCGAGCTGGCAAGAGGGCCCAGCTCATCGGGGCATGCCGTTTTCATGTACACAGAACCCAAATTCAGGGCCTGACACTTCACTGTCAAAATACTGACAAGGAATTCTTTGAGATCCCACAGAGTAGACTTAATGTGGGGTCACTGGAGACAGACGCAGGACTAACAGTACCAGGAGAGGAGCTGTCCTTGACAGCATGAATGAAGGATGCTGGGGCTGATGTTGGGTTACAGCAGAGTCTCGAAGACTGTCCACCACTTACCTTATTGGCATCTAGAATCTTCCGCAGCTCCTCATGGCTCTGCTGAGTGATGAGCACCGTCTCTGCCGAGGTGACACAGCCACTGCAAGCCAGACAGTCGTCCAGTGAGATTTTGGCCTTTTCCAGCTTCCGTGTCCCTCCGTCCTGGAAGCACAAGAACCCGGTAATGAGGAAAGAGAGCTCTGAGGATAGCGGGACCCCCCGGAAACCTTGATTCTCTTGCTCACACCACTGACAACCAACATGATAGTTAACTGGCTTTATGTACCATTAAATTTTAAAAGTTACTTATTACAGGAGTACTTATACTCATTCTAGATTTAAATAGCACCATCGAATTCTGACTGGTACAAAGTCAGCGGGAGGCTGGCGACTCTCCACAGGGGTCCCGGAGGGGTTGCTGGTCCCAGGCATTCATGGGACCATGAGGACAGGAAAATGCCAAAGGCCAGGCTCTGAAAGAGGAAGAGAATGGCAAGGGAGAGGAGAAAGGAAGAAGGAAAGAGGGCAGAGGGAGGAGATGGTGGGGCCTGTGCAGTGGCTATATCTGCCCCGTGCCAGCACCTGGAGTTGAGAAAGACACGTGGACAGCAACAAATCAGACTTTGCCAAGCAGAGAACTGGTATTCGAGTCCAGTATCCAGGCTGAAACTCAGTGACTCTCTTAGATGCAGATTATCCCAGCTGTGCCCCTTCACTCCTTTTGCAAAAGCAGGCATGGTCTGAACCAAGGCCAGGTGAGCCACCGAGGCCAAGACTGGAACTCTCAGCTAAGTTCACTCGGCCTGCGCTTTGCACAAAGCCACAATTTGAGCTCAATACGTACTTTTAGAGTCAGATCAGCCTAAAGGCCCGGGATGCAATGCAGTACCAAGCAGGAGGCTGATGAGCTTCCCACCTTCCCTCCATGTCAAGCACTGCTGTTCTGGACAGCAGGACACACTGGCACCCCACCTCAATTAGGTCCCCTCATTCATGGGACCCCTCCTGAGGTGTCTTTTCCCTAAAAAGAACCCAGTCCCCTGTGCTGCAACAGGTGGGAGCCCTGAGGTGTTCACCCTCCTGCACCAAGTTAATAGCCAGCTTTTTCCCTGTAAAGGCTTGATCCACTGTCCATCCCCACCAGGAGTTACCTTGGGGCTCCTCCCCCTGCTCGGAAGGGGTTCCTGGGCCCAGTACACCTGGTGCCTATAGTCCACGGGATGGCACAGAGTTCAAATGGCAGATAGGCAGGGTGGAAATTTTGTTGTTGTTAATCCTCACCTGAGGATATTTTTTCCATTGATTTTTTAAGACAGTGTAGAAGGGAGGGAGAGAGAGAGAAACATTGAGGTGAGAGACACATCAATTGGTTGCCTCTCTCATGTGTCCAGACCCAGGCAGGGGATGGAACCTGCAACCCAGGTACATCAAGTGCCCTTCACCCAGAATGGAACCCGGGACCCTTCTGTGCATGGGCCGTCACTCTAACCACTGAGCACACTGGCTAGAGCAGCGGGGTGAATTTTAACACCATTAGATCAGGACTTTGTCATTGTTAATTATACAGGAAGTAGGTATTCACTAAGAACAAGGGGTCTAAATAGGAAAATCTTACATAATTAGAACTCAGAGACAGAGACAGACAGAGGGGAAGATGGGAACTACCATCCCTGCAAAAAGAACCCCCGCTGCAGAACAAATCAAGCTCCATATTCAGCTTCTCCGTCCCCGGCCCCTCCCATTCCTGTTCTCTCAGGCTCCCTGACAGATTCAGGGTTCCTTGAATCTGAACCGTGAAAAAGGACTGGCAGGAGTGGAAGGTCTCCTGGTCACTGCGCTTGTGACTGGATGGAATGGTGAGATGGGTTTCAGGTCATCTGGGCTAGAACTTACCTGACTCACTTGGAAGTAAGTCCCATCATCTTCAATGTGGATCTTGGCCACGCCACGTCCCAGCTTCTTGTCTACCTTCATGGGCTTGATGCAGTCCTACACCAGGGAGAGACCCCAAGCCAGGCCTGAGCGGGCAGAGGCTCCTAAGGAAGAGGAGTGGGCTCTCCCACTGGGCACAGGCTCTCACACCTGCGGGCACTGAGGGGCACTCTGCAGGTCACAGTCCACGTAAGGCTGGTGCTAACGGGGCCTGCATGCTAACCTGTCAGCACACACTGCCAACTCTGACCTTTACTCTCCTCAGTGTGACCAGGAGACATGGCACACCTCCTCCCCCCACAGAGAGCCAGGGGCCAGTGTTACACTGGCCACTGAGAGGAAGCCTAGGAATTGGCAGGAGTGCTCTGTCTGCACGTCACCTCCCTGCCTGGTGCCCTAGAAAAAAGTTCATTTCTCTCCCCACCTTCCCATCTGCCACGTGATCACTAGGAGAACCTCGCTGGCCATGGCCTTCCTAAACAAGACCAGCCCCAGGAAGACCCGGCGGGAGGCCTGTCCCGGCTCACCCCTGCCTAGGGGTGTTCCCCTCCTCCTCCTGGGACTCAACTATGGCCCCCAGGCCCGGGCCTGCACCGCTGCTGGCAATGGATGGGCAGGTACACCGGATAGGGACAGCACCCCTTTCCAAGCTAGTTGCCCGTCTCCTTTAGGGGCAAGCTCTCTCCTCCAGGAGGGCAACGCCAGGGACCACACACCAGACAGTCCCTGGGCCGCCACGTCGGGGACTCCAGCGGACCAGCTCCCCTGCTCGGGCGACTGGGGTGGGACGCCTCCCCTGTTTGCACAGAGAAGCTGGGCAGGGTCTTCCCAACCCAATCCTGAGCCCGCCACTCCCCGCTGGGGGACTGGCGGCAACTGCCCGGCACCCTCGGCTTCCGTACACCCGCCCGTGAGCCCCAGGTGCAGCTTCTATGCCCCGGCCCTCCCAGCCCTGTTCTCTCAGGCGCCCTGACAGGCAGTGAATGCGAGCCGTGAAGAAGGACGGGAGGATGTGGAAGGGCTGGCAGACCCCGCACTCCCCTAACCCGGTCGCCCCCAGGGCACCATGGTAACTGGCTCCTGCTTGTCTCTCTGGGCTGTGCGGGCGGCGATCCCGGGCCCCCAAACCCGCCGACTCGGCCTGGGGCGGAGTAATGAGGGGGGCGGGGACCGCCCTCTCCGGCTTCGGTTCCCCTAACAGCGGTCGAACAACCCTTTCACAGGGGTCACCTAAGACCATCCTGCATATCAGATATTTACATTAGGATTCATAACAGTAGCAACATTACAGTTATGTAGTAGCAACGAAAATAATTTTATGGTTGGGTCACAACATGAGGAACTGTATTTAAAGGGCCAGAAGGTAGGAAGCTGGCCAGAGTGCCGGAGGCCCCGGGGGCACGTGCCGGGTCGGGATCCCATTTCCCAGGGGGGGGACACAGACGGGAGACAGGCCCCTCCACCCGCCCACCCCGCCGGCCCACCTGAGACGGCCCTATGAAGTCATCCAAGTCCGTCAGCTGCAGCGCCCG